GTAGGGCAAGACTTCCAAGATCTCTTCTAATCCTATGATACTATGAAAATGTTCACACTGCTGTAAAGACACACAAACTTTGCAAACTTTTTGTCTATTTAGTGACAGTGCATTCATTGATGAAGAAACCTTGGTCCAGCTTTTCTCCAATTAGTTGTGGATGAGACTGAACAGCTAATGGTGCAAAATGCATTTTAGTTAATATTCTAGTATCCTATAATTCATGGATCAGAAGGACATTTCACTAGAAAATGACAGCGTGATCATCACTCCATAATAATATTATTCCAAAGCAAAGGTACTTAATGATATGTTGTGTTCATCTGTATTTTCAAAAAACCTTCTGTCCTATAATTGAAAAGTGCTTTTCTTTGGGTATATTTTGGTTTCACCAGCAGTAAGTAGAAACCTTGTTGAGCAGGATAGCTTACTGTAAAATATTAGTGGTAATTTTCATTATGGTAATTGCATACAGGGTTCAAACTACAATTCTGATAAATTGCACAAGCCAACATGCATACCCACTGTTTGCAACATTAGTCAAAATTCAACTCTTGACATTTATACGCAATATTTATGTGGCCCACATCACAGCAGTACTAAATGACCCAGCATCTTTAATACAGTTTGTTTATATTTTGTGAAACATAGTATAATTTTCAGTTGGCAAATGAAACACTGGAAGTTGTGATGTTGTTAAAAGCAAAAATTGCACTTGCTATGAGACTTAGCAGAATTTATAATATTTATATTACTTTGCTTTTAAAAGTTTAGCATAAACTATATACCATGTGACTAGGTATAAAATGATAAGAGTTGCCTGTTTCTCCTCTAAACCCAAATGACAGGTCACAGGAACAGCCAATGAGCATGGCCAGGATGAGGTGCTGCTGACCATAGCTACTCACTGCCAAAATTTACATTCTTTGCAGAAGTTCAAAAAGTGGACAATTGATTTCACCCCAAACCAAGATTGTCACAGAGGGTTCTTTAGCCAGATTTATTGAAAAGAAAATGGGATTAGGTTACAGAAATATCAACAATGGGATTATTTTCACATTCAGAAGCTATTTTGTCTCCCAGTCTTTTTTCTGTTCTTAACCATAAACTCTGTGTGAACTAAAGGGCCATTTTTGACTGATAAAAGAGAAATATTTCTCAAGCTATGAATCTAATTACTTAATTAATTGCTCTTTTCTATTTTACCTTTCTTCAACTTCCAAACAACATATTGTGTGTGCAGATTGAAGTAAGAAACAACTTCCCCAATGGTCTTGATAACCTTTGTCATATTTGTGGAAGAGTGTTAAACCAGTGATAAAAAACTGGATTATCTCTATAGGAGAGAGGCATAGGATAAAGCGGGAATAACAGATTACTAGATATGTATTTAATCAGAGTTCCCCAAACTTCTCAATATTGATCTCTAAGGGTTAATGGAACAATTTATTATTATGGTCATGGGCTATAATTCAGATTCAGAATCTGATTCATAACATTGCTCATACTAAGCCTATGGATTGTCAGCCTCAGAATTCGTCAAGCCATGATTCATTTAGGGGTGATCAACCACAAGCATCTGCTGATCAATTGAAGGATGAGGCACAAGTCCCAGATCTCAAAGTATGCAGCAGTAAGCAAAGCAACATTAGTCAATGAGGTTCCTCACTAGGTAAAGTGTAATGGAATGTATCAATTATCTTGAAGAAAGAGGGAACAAGATTCTGTATAGGAAACAATCAGGCAATAGAACCAGGAGAAACTTAGAAAAGATCCACCCTAATGGATCAAACAGTTAAAGTAGAGGCAGGTAGTTTTCTGTCTTCAGACTTGCAAGATTCTGCTAATGTAGCCTTACAATAAGATATAATTAGTTCATCTTGTCTTATTTCATATCTGGTTTATTTGGGAGGGCTGACACAAACAGCGAAGCCTGAATATTGAAGCCAGATGCCTACAGATTCATTTATGGAATCATTTTGCCTTCAGTTTTAGTTGGAATCAATAGTTTGGAATTCCACCTCATGATTCTTATTTTTATGTTTCCCTGCTCTTGAATTCTTGTCTATTGGACTGGCTAATTATCTGGCTTGGCTCTTTGACTCCTGGAATGAATTTGGAGCATTTTTTTGCTACCTGAATTTGAAATGGAATTATTAAGGCAAGCACTCTGCAAAAACCTTGCCTGATGAACTTGGCTATTGTTATCTGTCTGGTTGAGGTAAATAATTCAACTCCTTAGCAACTTGTGTCTGTGTTTGTGTGTCACAAACAATGTAGGTCAGAACAATGATCATCATTTATAGTACTATTATAGTATTTATGAAATTATTTTAATATAATAAAAGTTTAGGGGTCAATGAAAAATCTGAAATATTATGAGCTGAACAGTTTGGAGACCCTTGATTTAAATGAACAGGTCCAACACAAAGAGCGCCACACCAGTGTTCAAAAATATCCCCAACCAGAGGTCAATGGGATAGAGATCCTCACATTCCAACAACTTGACAAATGTTTAAAACTCTCATCTCATGCCTTCACCTAGAGATGTTGAAGTTATCTGATTGCATGTTAAGGAGAGTGGCTGGAGGTTTTTTCCTCCCTGTTGTCAGGTGATACTACCTGGGAGAAGCACGGTCAGGGAAATCCAACAACTCTTGACTTCAACTGACCCATATTAAAATTGTAAGGAGATAACAGGAGTCATCAGACTCATCATTAAGGGAAAACAAGAGTTTGATTATAAAGGCACCACAATTTATACTGGCCAAGTCATTTTGTGGGATGGGCAGCCATACAATAAATAATACATAAATAATGAACATAATAAAATATTAAATGACATATTAATATAATAAAATCTATTAAAATTATAGTATCTATATAAATATGAATGCAGCTTTGAGAAAGAGCTTTTTGCCTATAAATAAGATATTTTTATGATTTTGTTACAAAAAATGGATGTATGTATCAGTGGTGTGTTTCAAATATTTTTACCATTGGTTTGCGCATGTGCACACATTTTACACATTCACCTCCTGCATTCTTCCTGATGCTTCAGTAGCTTCCGCGTGGCAATTGCTGTGCTGCGCAAAGCAGCTGTGCTTCAAAAGCAGAACATAAAGGTTAGTATGGGAGCCTGGGCAGGCAGGTGGGCCCAACATAGAGCATTAGAGAGAATCGGTCTGGTCTCCCCTGCTCATCACCACTAGCGATTCAGAAGAACCGGGCCGAACTGGTAAAATACCCCCACTGGTATGTATGTATTGATGAGTACAGGACTAGATGTCTTTTTCAAAGAAAAAAGTTTCTCCAACTTAATATAAATTTATTGAATGTGAAATAAACATCAGATCCCACAAGATCCTGACATGGAAGCAACCACTCTCCCATACATACCATGATCTATGTCTGCAAGTGCGTTGCAGAGAATTTTACAGTGATTTAATGTGTATATTTGTATTAAATCCAACAAGTGTTCCTAATCATCTGCTCCAGAATAGTGCCACTGTCAAAATCTCTTCTGTAAATAGGTCTTTAGATTCACCCATGTACACTTGTTTTTCCCCCTTTAAGCCACCCACTGTGAATTATGTTCTTATGTCTAATTAGCTTTGTCATTTAAAAGGATTTATTTTCCTTTCTTTCTTAATGTAAGATTTTCCAGACTTTCCAAAACTTTTGCTTAATAATGTAATTTTACCGTAATGATATATGCCTTAAAGACATTGAAAACATTGCACACTCCGACTAGTTTTGTTATTACAGTATAATATAGATAGATGTGGTTCTAGCTACAGTAATTACTTTAATTTCATAGAAACATAAGACTGTTGAGTAATCAGCTATTACTAATGTAATTACTCCAACAAAAATGGTTCACAAAGAGACAGTGTTAGAGTTGTTCCTACATTGTACTAATTTAATAGTGAGTCACATTTATCTCTGAAGTGGATAATACAGGATAGCAAAAATCCACATTATAATTAAGATGTATGAAAAGCATTTTTTGAGATGTACTATTGAGCTTTTCAAAATAAATCTGTATCTCTCTGTCATTATTGGTTGTATTACATTGCTCCTGAAAATCAAAGCATATATTTGTTTTATTTGAACACTAAAGATGGATTTTTTTACATTTAAGACAAATTTAAGCAGATAAATATTCAATTTCATAAGCAGAGAATGTGCACTACACAAGGTCCTCTAGTTTTTTCCCCTTCTAGTTTCATAGCTATTTTTTTTAGTTGAATTCTCAGTGATGACATTTTGGTGCATTTCTTTAATTTATTTATGCAATTCCTTCTTTTGGTCTCATATACAATAAGGTAGAAAATAGACAGCTCAGTTTTGGAAAAGAAATTGGATGAGGTTGATTGTTTCCTATAACAGATCCTTTGCAAATTTATTGCTTCTAACGAGAATTTCCATCAATGATTGATGCATGTTCCATTTGTCATGCTGCAAAGACAGCAACCAAAAGTCTTCATATCACAAGATATATGAAATTATGATTAACATATGACATATTAAATTATGCTACATTACTACATGGCTGGAGGGATGTGCATTTCTGTGACTAATCATAATCTTCCTATGGACTAATTGCAAAAAAAATGTGCAAAATTGTTCCAGCTGCTAGGGAAAAGATCTACTGGCAGTTCTCTTGCCTACAGGGAGTTGATCATCCTAAATGAGCACTTGATGATAGATCACCTACACAATAAGGAAGAAATAAGAATATTTTGCCACTTTTATCATCAGATTGTAGACTTGAATATATGCTCATTCCCATGTTCAGTCATTGATTTCTGGTATTTCTTTAATGATACTCTAGGCATGGTTTCTGCCACGTCATCTTCCAGAAATCTCCGAATCTAGGTTCTTGCTCATTGAATGGGGATATCTTTAATGTCATGCTTCAAGCCTTCAGTTTAATGTGGTATACATATATTGCACAATACTGTCTAGCACACAGAAATAATTTTGTTAAGGTTATTTATTAGCTGAAATGTATGCCATTGTTACAAAACTAGTAAATAAAGCAAATTGAACACAGTTCCTTTCATTCTAACAACTGAACATTAAAACAGGGACCCTGCAATTCTTTAGTTTTATATCATTTATTCAGACTGAGTACAGAACAAAGGGGAGTAAAGTCAAAGTAAATATGCACACATACAGACCGTATTAGGAATTCATTTCAAGAATAATTTAAATATAGAATCCAGCTGAACTTTTTATTGCTCTGCTAATTTGGAACAAAATACTTATCAATTATGATAATATAAAAGCAGGAAAAATAGAATAAGAAAACTAAGTGGGTTAATGTATATATTTTATCAAAATTAAAATAATTTCAAGTAATACTTTAACACTGCAAGTAAAACACATTATTCTACTTTCAGTCCTTTGGATTTAAATTCAGAGTGAAGAATCTGCGATAAGCATCTCCCAAATTCTTCTAGGATCATTTGTTCAGCTAAGCAAATGGAATAATCTTGTTTTTCTGCCTCTTCAGCTTGAGCAAGAAGACAGGCACATGTTGCCTCAACCACCTCCCAAGATATACACGTATTAGATTGTCTATTACAACAAAACAATATATAATTACATTTTAAATATATAAACTGATGCAAAGAGAATTACCATATATAACTATCAAATTCTAAATTTACTCCTGGCTTAACTAACTGTTCTGTGACAGATTTGTATTTCAATACTGACTGATCACTGAGTTAAGTGACAGCAGAAGTCAGTCTGAGAGACATCAAACTTTTTTTTTAATTTGCAGCTTTCTTTCTGCAACCAATCTCCTTTTATACAGGTAGCTGGAATCCTGTCAGAAAAAAGATAGGGACATGGCTGTCCACGGGGAGGACAATTGCTGAAATATGGGCCATGTTACAATGCAATCTCTGCATACTTGCAGGCAATGCAGAAGACAGACAAAAACTTAATTCAATGAATGATTAGATTGGGACAGGCATATGAAAGGGGAAGTTTTGAATTATGCACATCTTATAATTTTTGCATCTTCTTGTCTACCTAGGAGTATTGGATGCACAGGGAACAAATGATGAATTAAGCTCCCTGCTATACCCATCACTACTTGCATCTTTAATGCAGTTTTTCAGTACTTTAGTTCATTGCTTCAGAACTCAACTAATGCCAAATGTTAATTTTAGTCTTTAGTCAGACAATACCAATTAGTAATAAATGTACTTTTAAAAATATCAAACTTGGGGTATTTATTTCCACAGAAATAGGTAGGTTTCATAGTTGTCTCTGAAACACTTATATTCTTGAAGTAACTACAGGTACTATTACTGGTACTATTCTTTGAGTGACTGGATTCAATTTTAAAAACTCTAGATTATGGAGGTTTTCAGGATATTTCCATATTTTCTATTTGCGTCCATATTGTAATTCAGTATAAACAGGATAATGGTAAATTCTGAAAGGGTTCTGAATTTGTAGTTGTATAATAGCCAAAACATATGCATTTGTACATGTATTAGAAAGTACAGCTGTTACAAATTACTATGTCTGCTTTGGATAACTACAAGTGAAAAGAACAGAGGTTGGAAGTCCAGACTCAAAGAATTGTCTAAAAATATTCCCATAGTACAAAAGAAATGTCTTAGAAAAATATTACATAGGTAATTAATTTCTACCTTTCTTTCTTGGTTTTTGATAATATTTCAGAGTTAGAAAATGATTCAGAATCATTTCCTTCATTGGTTTTAAATTCCATTTGAATTGGCATATTCATTAATATTTTTCGATCAGGGCTTTCTTCATAATTTTTGCATCCAATACATTTGCAGATAGATGAACACATAATTTTAGCCTACAGAGAAACAAAATATTTTAATTCCTAAAAAGACATGTTATTTAATAAAGGTCCACAATTAAAAAAAAAATGAGATTTGCCTGTTCAACAATCCAATCATACAGTTGCTTCATTGGAAATAAATCTCAAGTCCAATAATTTTCCATTGAACAAATATTCTTTTATCTAGAGAATGCTTAAACATTTTAAAATTAAAGGAATTTGCCTAATCCCAGTCTTCACTTGCCCTACTATTCTAGCAGGTTTAAAGGGTTTGGGGTTCAAACTGTTTGGAAGATGAAGCACATATTGAAAAGAAAAACCTCACCCCGTTTTGTAAATGAAAACTTTCTGTGTCCAGAGATACAATCATAGACATTTATGATCTAAAACTATGTATTTATTTTAAATCTTTATTTACAGCTTTTCCAAATCTGTGAAGTCATACATAGCAAACAGCTCCAAGGAAAGTATAGACAAGATTAGGTAAGTTTGACTCCTGGCAATTTCATATATTAGAGCTGTATAGAGTTTTAGATTTTATCTCTAAAAGTGGTTCAGAATAGGAACATGAATGTAGCAACAGTCTGCAAAACATAAAGCAGTTCAAGCAATTTAAAGTGCAGTCCTGTTGGGATGTTGTATATTGCTGCTTCATTGATACACTGTTGCACTTCAAAATGTTAAGATTCAAACCAGAGCATTGCACAGTCCTAATGTCTGTGTTGTCTTCCTGGTTACATGTAAAAGTGACTTGCCATTATCTTTTTCTGGGAATTTTTTTCAGATTTCCCAATTTTGGGATTTCTTGGTTGCCTCTTATCCAAGTATTAAAAAGGTCTGACTACCTCCGAGCTTTTAAGGATCAACAAAAATTGGCTAGCTACTGCCATTCAGCATGCCATAGGTAGATGTTTGTCTTTACCCTGCTTGTTTTCTTGTTTGCCATTCTCTCATCCCTTTTTAACCTTTTCAAAATTAAATAAACATCTTTTCTACGGTTGTTTTCCCTGATCACATACCCTGGAGGTTCCACCAGATAAAGACTCTTAACGCTTAGTCTAAGTATTCTTCTGCTATGATAATACTTTTATAAAATTGATGAAAAATATTTTCAACAAACCTCAAAGCATTCACAGTAATTTTTTAGACATCCCGAACGCTTACAGTTACAACCTTTATTATGTCTTGGTTTAATATCACCAAGTTTTCCTTTTCCAATCTTTGGCAGGAAAGCTTCTGGATTTCTGTCAAGACAAGCCTAAATAAAGCATATTATTCGTATAGAATATACCTCTCAAACAGTTTTAAAAAATAGCAGATTATCTCTTTTCAAGAGACAGACATTTCTAAGCATACTTAGAAAGGGCTTCTTATAGACTGAAAAATACAGTATACTCCAAAGCATGTTTTTTGCCTTTGTATCCAAATTATTGCTCAAATCTGTTAATTGCAGCACCATTCCTATTATTTCCAGCATTTTCCAGTAAAGTTGAATTGAGAAGCTACATGCAAATCATCTGTGGTGAAATGAAATTGCATCAAAATGCCTGAACAGAGATATGTTTTTAACATAATTTCTCTTTCTTTAATTCAAGTGATATGTAAAAAATGAGATGGTATTAAGATACCACTACAGGTAGTCCTCAAGTTATGACCATAATTGAGCCCAAAATTTATGTTTTTAAATGAAATATTTATTGAGTTTTGCCCCTTTTTACAATCTTTCTTGCCACAGTTGTTAAGTGAATCATTGCAATTATTAAGTTAGTAATATGGTTGTTAAGTGAATCTGGCTTCCCCACTGACTTTTCTTATCAGAAGTTTGCAAAAGGGAATCACATGACCCTGGGACACTGCAATCATCACATAAATGAGTCAATTGCCAAGCATTTTAATTTTGATCATGTGACCATGGGGATACTGCAATGGTCATAAAGGTGAAAAATTGTCATAAGTCATTTTTAAAGTGCTGTTGTAATTTTGAACAATCATTAAATGAACTGTTGTAAGTCGGGGACTATCTGTATTTCAAAAGCCTGTTTTAATTAATATGTTTACTCAGTTTGATATGCCGAATTGATGAAATATATAAATGCAATTCATTTAAAATGCTTTAAAAATAACATCTAATGAATATAAAATAATTAATTTGCATATCAAAATAAAAAGAAAACGTAGTTGAATTACCTTAATAGCCTTAAACCGTTCTATTTCATGTTCTGGATTGTTATAACAATTATTACAGTTGCAATTACTACAGAAATCACCATTGGCAAAACAATCGCAGTATCTATGTTTCACAAAAGAAGTATATTAAATTGTTTGTAGTTCAACATTTTCAGATAACGCTCACTCTTATCTGCTATTTTTTATTTATTTAAAATTCCTGTATTGCCACTTGTCTTAACATCACAACGCTGGGCAGCTCATGAACCATAATAAAATCCATCAAAGCAGTAAAACTAAAATACAAAAAAGAAAAAAAAGGCTCCCGCAGTTAAACCAACAGCCCCTAACTGATCCACAACTGCAGTTACTGGGCTCCAGTCTCACCTTATCCCAAGGCCTGAAGGAACAGCCAGGTTTTCAAACCCCTCTTAAAGGCTAGGAGAATGGAGGCTTGCCAGATCCCAGGGTGCTGCAGAAAAAGGCTTGCTGCCTACACCCCACTAGAGGGAAAGAACTTCAACGACACCCACTCTACTAGACTGAGAAACAAGTAAATTAAACTATATGGATATTTATTAGTTGTATCCTTTATATATTTTGCCACATATATGGGTACTTTGAAGACTGCTAACAAACACACTTCCAGAAAATCAATCGCACTAAAAGGCTCTGGGATACATTCATATACTCCAAGCATTTTATTATTATCCCTGATTTGTTATATTTTATTTTGGGATTCCTTTCCATTACATGCTGTTGCTTTATGATTTGATATGCATCTAATTTAATGCAAAAGTTATTAAGCATTCTTCCCATCTTCACTATGAACCATGTTTTATTTAAGGTTATTTAAAGAAGAAAAAAATACAGAAAATAAAAGGCCTACATGAAGTTCAGATAAACATAAATGCATATGCTTGTGCCATGCACAATATTTAGCATATAAAAGCAAAAAGCAACTTTTTTTTTACTTAATACTATGAGAAAAATGTATAGTAACTTAGTACTCACTGTACATTTTGTCAAGATTGGTTACTTTGTGTGGTGTATTTTTTAAATTGAAGAAAAAGAAATTGCTTTGTAAGTGTAAAAGCATTTCTATGTTTATTCAAGTATTTTATCTGACTTTCCTACAATAACATCTGCATGACATATTTGAGTATATACGAAAGAAACAAATTATACTTTTCCTTTCTTACATAGGCAAATAATACCTCAGTGACATTTTTTTTACTCACAGTTTGAGGCACTGTGATTTAGTGCAGTTGCATGGCTTCTTTGATTTTGTATCCCAGGAAGCACAAGGAAACCTAAACAAACACATGTCGCATCTAAAGTAACATATTATGAAGCATTTATGGAATAGTGCAAATTAGGAAGATGACACCCACATAGTGATAAGGTAACAAGAAAAAGATAATTGTTTCATTTCCAATTCTCCATTTAGTTTCTTCTTTTGGTATACATGAATTCTATCTTTTTGGTAAAATAATTAAATTATAAGCAGAAGTATTTATTATTTAATGATGTTTAAATTGTATTACTTTGCATTTTTATTAAATTATCTAGCAATTCCAAAATATATACAGAAAAATTAGAATATTGTGCAAAAGTTCATTTATTTCAGTAATGCAACTTAAAAGGTGAACCTAATATATGAGATAGAGTCATTACATGCAAAGCAAGATAGTTCAAGCCGTGATTTGTCATAATTGAGATGATTATGGCTTACAGCTCATGAACACCCCACATCCACAATCTCAGACAATTAGAATATTACATGCAATCAATAAAATAAGGATTGTACATAGAACAATATCAAACCTCTGAAAAGTATAAGCATGCATATGTACTCAGTACTTGGTTTGGGCCCCTTTTGCAGCAATTACTGCCTCAATGCGGCATGGCATGGAAGCTATCAGCCTGTGGCACTGCTGAGGTGTTATGGAAGACCAGGATGCTTCAATAGCGGCCTTCAGCTCCTCTGCATTGTTCAGTCTCATGTCTCTCATCTTTCTCTTGGCAATGCCCCATAGATTCTCTATGGGGTTCAGGTCAGGCGAGTTTGCTGGCCAATCAAGCATAGTAATCCCACGGTCATTGAACCAGGGTTTGGTGCTTTCGGCAGTGTGGGCAGGTGCCAAGTCCTGTTGGAAAATGAAGTCAGCATCCTCATAAAGCTCGTCTGCGGAAGGAAGCATGAAGTGCTCCAAAATCTCCTGGTAGATGGATGCATTGACCCTGGACTTAATGAAGCCCAGTGGACCAACACCAGCAGATGACATGGCTCCCCAAATCAATACAGACTGTGGAAACTTCACACTGGATTTCAAGCATCTTGCAGTGTGTGCCTCTCCATTCTTCCTGCAGACTCTGGATCCTTGATTTCCAAATGAGATGCAAAAGTTGCTCTCATAACAAAAGAGGACTTTGGACCACTGAGCAACAGACCAGTTCTGTTTTTCTTTCGCCCAAGTAAGACATTTCTGACGTTTGTTGTTCAGGAGCAGCTTGATAAGAGGAACACAACATTTGAAGCCCATGTCCAGGATCTGTCTGTGTGTGGTGGCTCTTGATGCACTGACTCCAGCCTCAGTCCATTCCTTGTGAAAGTCCCCAACACTTTTGAATGGCCTTTTCCTACAATCCTCTCTGGGCCGTGGTCATCCCTGCTGTTTGTGCACCTTTTTCTTCCACACTTTTCCCTTCCACATAACTTTCTATTAATGTGCTTTGATACAGCACTTTGGGAACATTCAACTTCTTGTACAATTACCTTTTGAGGCCTTCCCTCCTTATGGAGGGTGTCAATGATGGTTTTCTGCACAATTGTCAGGTCAGCAGTCTTTCCCATGATTGTGATTCCTACTGAACCAGACTGAGAGACCATTTAAAGGCTCAGGAACCCTTTGCAGGTGTTATGGCTTAATTAGCTGATTAGAGTGGGACACTTTGAACCTTTTCACAATATTCTAATTTTCTGAGATTGTGGATTTGGGGTTTTCATGAGCTATAAGCCATAATCATCTCAATTATGACACATCATGGCTTGAACTATCTTGCTTTGCATGTAATGAGTCTATTTCATATATTAGGTTCACCTTTTAAGTTGCATTACTGAAATAAATGAACTTTTGCATGATATTCTAATTTTTTGAGTTTCACCTGTATTATTATATTGGGGAAAGTGTCCAAATATATTTAGTTCCAATGTATATAGTATTCTCATTATTGATTATGTAACAATGCAATTCTCAAGTGAATTTTCCTTGTAAAATTTAACAAAGTATCTCAGAATGTAACCTTTTGCTCACTAGAATGAAATGAAATACATCTCATTAGAGAAACTAGGTGTGAGCATCAATAAAATAAATGTACTGTATAAAAATGCTTTATTGAAAACAATTGTAAACAAAAAGTTTTTCAGTCTGTATCTGTAAATGCCTATTTCATATAATGATGCCAGGGATGTATACATATTTACAATTCTTACCCAACTAAAGTTAGTTTTGTTGGCTCCTGAAGAGTCAGATCTGAACTGCTTGTATGTATGGATCCATTATCAAGCTGCTCAAAATAAAATCCAAACATTCCATTTGCATTATATTATCATACATTTACACACTATATAATATTAATAACAAACATTAATAGTCTTAGAGAACATCATTTGAACGAATTACTATTTTAAAATATTGCCTTCATAGCAGATTGTTTTCTATTTATGTTACTACATATTGTCCATTACTGATTAGGAGCAACTCCAGATTGTTGAGCACATCCCCAAAGATCAAAAAGATTATCTGCATATGCTGCTCGATAATACGTACTACAAATGTCTGAAAGCCTGAAAAAAATGAATAGGAGAAACAAAAGAAATTATAGCAATGTAGAGAGGGTTGGAATAAAAAGAGAAGGGAAGGAAGCAATAGAGAAAAAACAAAAAGTATATTTGGGTGACAGAAATGGAAGAGAAAAATTAATTGATACGTATGTTGTAGTTAAAACAAATAATGAATGATGATGAAATGAAAAAGAGCATAAAAAAGAGCAAAGCCAAAGGAATGAGAGACTAGATAGATAATAGTAAACAGGTAAAGAGTAAGGATTAGAGTTGGCTCTATATTAAGCAGTATGACATGGTTACCGTTAGCTTGGCAAAATAAAATAAAACAATAAAATAAAATGTTATAGTCATAGAGCATCATAAATAACTTGGCAGATACTAGATGGTAAAGGGATGGCATTTTTACTTTTTGGGAGGGCAAAGCCAGGTATCTGAGAGAAATTATCCTGCTCCAGGTAAGATTATTGGCTGGAGTTATCTATTCATGTGAAGGGAAGGATACTAACTCTATTAAACAGGGTGGGTCAGAAAAATATCTAAACATTTTGTTGCTCAAGTACAATATATTATTTCTACTATGAGTGTTGACAGATCCTATACTTTTTTTGTACTCTAGCTGTTTTCCAGCAGGGCAACTTTTTCCTCCTTCTGAATTATTTTATTCAGTTTCATGAAACATGATAGTTGCCTTAGTGTATCCTCATCCTACAATGGTAACTGAAGACTCCACACAAAGGATGCCAACCATTATCTCTTAATATATGAAATTTATTTATTTATTCATACAAATTTAGAAACTACTGGACTCCAAACAATTCTGTGTGGCTTACAGTTCTCAGCATGGAAAGAAAAAAACATGCTGTTACTGGGAAGTTATTCTTAATTGCACTTTTGTAGAAAAAGTCTACAATAAAATCTCAGAAAGGTAAGTCCATACATCCAGGCAGACAATGGCAAGATAATAAAACCATAGAGGCATCCTTTGCGCAAAAAAGTGACAACATATAGTATAATATTATAAAATTAAAAAGGAAAAGGAAAATATATACATACTTACCTCCTGAGCACAGGTATTCAGTTTACCTGCAACTGGCAAAAACTGCCCAAGTACAGATGTTACCGGGTTGCTTGCATCTAATAAGAAAGTGCTCATTGAATGACATTTGGCGCAACAATATCTTCAGTACATATCTGGGCAATATATCTTAGTAACTAAGATTGAAGATTTTTGTTACAAAAAGTAACACTTGGTATTTATTGTGATATATTTATTTCTGAAATAGAAGGATATCCTTTAAAAAGATATGTATCTTACTCCTCTGACAGGCAGAAATATGCTAAAAAATCCAGAAATGCCCTTCTTAGTGGAGGAACAATATTCTTCCAAATTCAGATGCCAATAGCAACAAATAAATGTAGGCAGAAAACTGGAAAACTTGTTCCTATCTGTGGGATAGGAAACTAGAAAAGAGATTGAAAGAAAATAGGGAAAAGGCAAACAAAATAGATGACAATACTACAAAATAGGTCAGGCTGCTTATTGGTAGTTGAAGTTCTTCAAGTGGTTGTATTCCACAAATGAATTTGCATGCCTATATATTGTACCATTGACGATGCTCCAGACAGGAGGGATTATTACTATTATTACGATTTCTTACACAGTCAGACTGGATTTGGCATTTTTGTCTTCCTATTAAGTCATTCCCAAGGATCTAAGATATGCAGATGTTTTTTGATGATGTTAGAAGTATCACAGGATGTAAGCTGTTCCAAGAAAGACTCCCTTTCACAATTGACTGATGGTGATTTTGTCAAGGGGGTACTCCAGATGATGTTGTTTATTGTCTCCATCGCCCTCTGTACCAGGGGTGTCAAACTCAAGGCTTGGGGCCTGGATCTGACCCTCAGGGTGCTTAGATCTGGCCTGTGGGGCCACCTGGAAACAGTGATTGGGCCTGCAGTGATCTGGCCCACGGTGCCTTGGCCAGCAAAAATGGAGCCCTGGAGGGTCAACGTGCGTTTTTGCTGGCAGAGGATTGCAAAAGGCTGTCACAGCCGAAAACAGGAGAGAGCCCATTTTTGCTGGCAGAGCGCTCGAGCTACCAGAGGCACCTCTGACACAAGTGACGTTGAGCTGGCTAGGCCCACTCTGCCCACGCCCACCCCAGCCCCCTGAGGTCAAACACAACCCTGATGCAGCCCTCAATGAAATAGAGTTTAAAACCCCTACTCTATACATTCAAAATGTTCCTCACTATTACCTGAAATAGTTACATTCTAAAAAACAGTAATATCTCTATAGAAATGGAAGGTAGATTATTTAAATGCAGATATAACAACTTAAATAACCCTGGGTTTAAGTAAATGTTTTTTTCATAATTTCTGTGCATCATGCAAATGGGAAAGTAGTAAGTTATATTTACTGGAGATGAGTCAGGCAATTGGATACTGTACTGAAGAAAGCATAGCTCTACTAAACCTTATTACTATCGGAGATTGTGCATCCTATTTATAGTGAGTGATGAACAAGATATTTGAGAAAGAATATCAGAACAGCTTTATCTGAGTAAGTTTTCAGATTCTCAAAAGTGAACACAAGTGTGTTACAATAAAATAGTGTCTGAGTAGCAGTGGTGCTGGTAAACACTTTGTGAAGAAAAAGTGACTGCTTGCTTCAGAGGTGAAACAACATACAAAAAGTTAAGACATCTTATGAAATGTTTTTGTGCTAACCCAGTAAAATAGCTAAATACATCTATGTTAAGATATTTCAGTGAAATCTCTATTAATTTCAAAAGTGGTGAGATCAAGGTAGAATCATGGTCTGAATAACATTAAATTTCATATCACTTTCAGAAAGAACATAACATTTACATGGAGTATGAAATTTACTGTATCCATAAAAAGAGAAAAATGAGTGAAAGAAATGATCCTCACAGTTCCCAAGAAAAGTTTTTCTCAGTGATGCAATAGTCCAAAGGAATATAACTTTCAAAGACAGTAAATGAAACAGTAAAGTAGTAAGAATCACTTTTGCCATCAAAGCACGAAGTACCACATAGACCAAGGAGGACCAATGGATATACATGCAATATCTTAAGGAATTTATGAAGGAATCATGTGAGATGCTATGAAAAAAAATGAAAATCTCTACAATAGAAGGTGAGACCAAAGATGGTGAAGAAAAGGCTAACCTCATGGCATAAAAAGAAAGCAGAATCTTGAGAAATTGTAACCTTGCATTAATTATTTTTACTATTGTACGAAAGCATACTGTCTATCAGTTCATTGATATAGGGATCATTTTTGGGGTGGAAGAATTCTGTAAAGTATGCTAAGAGGAGAGGGAAATCACAGAGAAATTGTGTTTGTGTGACTTCAGAGACAACAGAATTTAGATATCAAGCTTGGCACTGGTGAATAAGAAATACTATGCAGGAGTGGGGAAATCTTTCGGATATTTATAGAAAAAGTTGGGTGGTCAAGACACAAAACATGTAATAAACTAGCATATACAATCATTTTTGAACTAGAACTACAAATAATTAGTTGCATATATAACATTACACTATCTACTATCTATATGTTCTGACCCAACCTGGTTCCAAAAGAGCAAACACAAGACAAAGGCAGCAGCCCCTACCTTTTAAGATTTAATCCACGAATTCTATTTCTTCACAGATAAAAGGCTGCTTCCAGGTAACTAGTTCCGACAAGAGCCTTGCCAAGTTGTTTGTCAAGGCTGCCAAAAACCCAGAGATAAGAACTAGTTTCCCAGTTTTCAAATAGTAATTATGATGTCCATGAGGCTGAGTCTCAGAGCGTCTTTGCCTTCTGCAAAGAATGCTTCTTCAAACCTGGCTTTTATCCTCTTGAGGGAAGGGCCATTACCTTGCAGCCTTACTCCCGAGTTGCCTGTGCTGCTGTAACTGCTCTCTCCTATGAGCAATCCTGCGTGCACGTGCACTTGGCACAGGCTCCTCGGGAACCTCATCACTGCTGCCAGTCCACACAATCTCTAAAGGCAGCAGTCCACTGATGAGTTTGTGTTTGCAGTAGCTTCATCTTATATAGTGTTGTGGTTAGCTGGCAGCAACTCGTCCTAGCCCATCTGAGTCCTTGCTGTCCGCACCTGCTGCCAGCTAACCACAACACTATATAAGATGAAGCTACCGCAAACACAAACTCATCAAAAGTAAGGAGGAAAAAAGAAAAAAAAAAGAAATCAAAGAAGAAGCAAAAATTAAAAGATTTAAAAACAGAAAAGAAAGAAAAAAGTATAAAGAAGTGACTTCTAATATATTTCAATGTTATAAGTACAAATATATATTTAACCTGTCTCTGTAAAGTTACATCATATTACTCTTCTTTCTTGATCTGGTGCTGGACTTTATAAGCAGGAACAGCAAGGAAGTAAGATTCAGCTAGATAAATGAACCAAGAGTTGGGGTTACCTCTTCCATGGGGAAGATGGAGAGCAGTGATAAAAAAGATCAGATTTAATTGCCCTACTCAGTAAGGATCTTTGCCAGCAGGGAATAGGAAAGACCAATCAAGCAAGATCTCTTTTTAAGTCAAAGGAAGGAGGAATAATACCAGGCAAGAAGAGATAATAAAAAGACTGAAATGAGAAAATATCTCTGTGCTCATAAAAGAAGATATGAAAAAGGAAAGCAGGATGGGCTCTTAATTTAATCATCCTAGACATGTTTTTGAAAAAATATTACGCATCAGCCCAATAATAAAACTAAACATTGATATATTGGTTAATGAAAAATACTGTCACCCAAGTATCAAGGTAAGAACTATTTTGTAGCTCTTTTTTGCAAATAGCTGTTCAAGTATTTTTTAATATAATGCATTGTTTCATGGCATACAGTGACACTTTTCATTTTTTATTCAGTTTTTGTATTAATATATGGAAATACTTTAGTGTTATGACCCTCGGGATAATGTACTAGTACTCACGTGATGATACTTTTTGGCTATCTCAGTCTAAGATCTTTCCAATAATGAAAGAACTGATCCAAATCCTCCTGCTTTCTTTTTTCTTCCTTCTTTTCTTTAAACGTAGGAAAAACTTTAAGAGAAAGCTTTATAGACATTTGAAGATTATTTCTGCACAATGTGCTTAAATTGGTGGTTACAAGAAAAAAGGCAAGGTCAAAAATATTCTGAGGAAACAATAGCAGAATGCTCTGACTGAGAGGAGCAGAAGGTATAGTTCCCACGATTTTCTCAGGTAAAATTTCACATGCGGGAATGATGACTTGACAGTAACAACTTGACTATTATTTCTCTTTCATGAGGGGAGAAATTTGAATTCCAAAGTGAATTATAAATTGCCTAAGTGCCCAATTCAGTATAAAGATAGTTTCCTTTTATTTTTGGTGGAAGACAGAGAATATAGCATTGTTATTGTTAATTTTCAGTACCTTCCATGTCAAATATACCTCTCTGTTCTGTTGGGCCTTATTAGCAAAAAGGAGATAGAAAAATAATTCTCACTCATGTAGATAAATTGCTCCCACGTGTAAAACCTTGCATCATAATCAGTAAGCTGCTCAACCTCTTTTCTTTTTCAAATCAATTTCAGAATTCTGATTCCTCAGAGTTAGAAGGTAACTCTAGGCTGTCTTAGCACCACACACTGTGGCAATAAGATTTAAAAAAATAGTTAATTAATAGAAAGCTAAATGCGTCCACAGAACTTGACAGTTTTGTGAAAATGAAATGACTGCAGTGCTGTGTTTCTTACTCTGTGCATTATATATGGACATGCAACATAATGGTGCACATATACAATAGATAGCTTTAGTAATGACACTCATTTTGTCATTTGTCCCCTTGTCCCTTTATAGATATACCCCCAAAAGAGAAAATTTACAAGCGCAAAGCAGTTTTCTATCATAGAATAAGGTGAAACAAAATTGAAAATAGTCCCCACCCCCAAGATATTTCCCACTTCACTGACATATCACTGTCTATTGGAGCAAGCATGAAATACAGAAATAAGCTCCCCCACTGCAGGAAAAATAGGCATATTGTACAATGATAGATATTACTTCCAATATCAAGCTGTATTCATTTTTTGTGTAGAAAGCATAAAAACAAAGAATGCATGGTAATGTAAA